TAGTCATGGGTGGCTCAAAAAAAAGGTTAACTTCATTTGTAAAGAAAGACCTAAAGTCAGCCGGACGCTGGTGCTTGTAATTCTAGCTACTGAGGAAGCTAAGATCTGAGGACTGCAGTTCAAAGCCAGCCTGGGCAAGGAAGTCCATGAGATTCTTATCTCCAATAAACCACCAGAAAACTGGAAATGGCGCTGTGGCTCAAGTGATAGAGCACTAGCTTTGAGCTGAAAACTAGGGACAGAGCCCAGACCCAGAGTTCAAGCCCAAGCGACAAAAAAAAAAAAAGAAGAAAGAAAGAAAGAAAGAAAGAAAGAAAGAAAGAAAGAAAGAAAGAAAGAAAGAAAGAAAGAAAGAAAAGAGCTGAAGTCTTGATCCATTGATTTAATTTTATGCCCCTGCATCATGCACCAAGAAATTCTCTATGCACAGCTACTGCAGCACAACAATGAGATGTTAACAGTAGTATCATATATAAATTTTGTCCAAAACAGAGGGTTTAACAGCCACCATTTAAAGTAGTTACTAAGTGATGTTGACTCTGAGTCAGATTGTTACTATATCACTGTGAAGTGTGGTGGCTGAGTCACAGGAATATGCTCATGAGACATTATGAACCACAGGTGAAGTCAAGCAGTTTCATTAAGATGAAGGGAAATTGTTGGGATTGATAGCCACTGGTTATGTGATCTAGTGTTCATGGCAAGTACTTCTCAAAGCTGAAGGTCAAGATGCAGGGTCCCGCCAAGCTCCTCAGCTCCTTGCTTTGAAATGTTAACTCTTACGATGCCAAAATAAGGCTGTGGAATAATCTACTGTATTTCCTTACTCTAGAAGATAAAAGTGTTCCATGACATGTGCATATGCTGGCGAATGTACAGAACTGACTGAGGCAATTAGTAAAAGATTCAAGGATGTAAAAAGCAAACAAACAGAAGTAAACATCTTGCTACACCATTCAATGATAAGTCAAAAGCTAGGTATACTGCTTTAATTCAACAAATGTTACATGAGCAATGATGAATTTCCTACATTGAAATATGCACCTGTGTTCTGGACAAGTTATTGCTATGGGTAGTTCTTTTCAACATTTACCATTCCAAAGAAGTGACTATGCTCCCGATTAACCAATACAAACCTAGAAAAGCAGTTGCCCGTAGCACCATCATCAATACCAGCTAACATCACTTGTCTCACCAAAGAGAAGTCATCCCAGCCATCACATTAGGGATGAGTCAATTAACTGTTTGCTCAATGATAGCAACCTAAATTTAGGTTAAAAACTTCTTACAGAATGTGAATTATTTCATAAATAATCAACTGCTCTTGACAGAAAATAGCATCCCTAACCAAAAAATAACCAAAGTAAAATAGGGCTGGCAGTGTTGTTCAAGTGATAGAGTTCCTGCCTAGCAACTGCAAGAACCTGAGTGAAAAACCTTAGCACCATCAAAAAAAGGTATGACTCTGTGCCACAATCACATAATACCATTGTATGAAAGTAAACAATGGCCTTAGAAGTAAATGAATTATTGCCTTTATAACATATATAAATAAAAACTTGTAGGTGGCACTCATTTCATTGCCTGTCCTTTCATTTTATCCACATTTACACACTCCAATTATAGTTTTCTGTTTGTGTCTGAGAAACTTCATGCTTCCAGAAGACTACTGAATACCACAGATATAAGTGAACAACTGCCTTCTAAATCTGTTTAGGCAAACATACATTTGCATTCTGAGGTGTCTTCCAGAGTAATTAAACTAAATTAAGTAAATAAAATAAAATTAATTAAAATTAAATAAATAACACTGTATTGGCTACCCTATCAAGATTGTGCTTCTAGTACTTCTTATCGTTAATGTTAGGAATAATGATTTAAATTTCTAGGGTTCACTTATAAAAACTGATGACTTTGAACATATCCAAAAGGATTTCAGAAAGAAAAGATGAGAATTAAGATTCATAGTTTAGATTTGTTAGAATTTGGAGGGTTTCAGATTTCTTTGTACTTGTGAAAGATAATAAGGCCAAGGAGCATAAAAAAGATGTCTGTAAACTGTTTTTCAGTCAACAAAAAATCAAAATTATATACAAAACATATACTTTAATAACCTACATGGTATACTGCCTATTGTCCCAAAATTAGTCTGAAACCCCTTTATATGCTGAAGAAAATTAAAGTGAGTGTAAATTTTACTCTTCTTACTCAAAATAATCTAGTATAGACTCAGGCATTCTAAGCCTCATGTGAGTAATCTTAGACATGCCTCTAATGCCATGGAAATACTCTCTATCATCTAAAATGAGAAATTCCCTTATACTCTATGCTGCTTAGGACTTACTTTATCGCTCAATAATTTTTTAAAGAATATTAAAATAATGAATAGCCAAAGCAGAAGGAGTAATATCATTCTAGCATTTCACAAACACACAAAAAGTCTTGTTCATTCACCTTCCCTTAGCAGAACTTGGCAGTAGATTAAAAAAAAAAGAATGGTTCCACCTTAAGCCATCTGATTTAATATCCACCAAACTAACTTTTCTTTTTCCATAATGATATGTGTGGCCTACTATCAAAAGAAGAACTAATAAACACTCATTAGAACAGAAATAGCAGCAAAGCATTAAAAAAGAGCAAGATGAAAAGGCTAGTATAACCCCAGGGGAAAATATCCAATCCCACACGTAACTATGTAGAAAAGTTAAAGTCTAATCATAATGATAGCAACAATAGTCACATTAGCAAAGTATATCCAAAAAATAGAAAACTGCATAAAGAAAATCAATGAATATAAAAGTGCACACAGGCAAAACATGAGTATGGTAGAGCCTAGGTGCTGCAAAAACAGGATGCTTAGGCAAAACTCAAATAACTTCATAGAGTTAGAGAGGCCATCAAGAGTGTGCTCCCAAGATTTTTTTGCATTCTTGTTTGGCATTTTTGGGCTCTTCAGGCAAGAGGTTAACTCATTAATTTTCCCCAAAGAAAATAAAATAGCAACAGGAGCAAAGAGCAAAACCCCAAGTTCAAATAAATATGACCTCCACCCCAACACTTTTGGCATATTCCCATTCCTGGAAGACTGCCTTGTTCAGGGTGATGCATCTCTTGGAATATGCCAGTACCATTCAGATAAAAAGGCAAGATTCAATTACAGATAAGTGAATGTTTCTCTCAGCTTCTAAAAATACTGTTTTCCGAGGCTTCCCTGCTGCATAGAGTTCAAAGTGTTATATACAGAAAATTAATAGTAGAACGTAAGAAAATCTATACATAGTATACCCTCCTGAAGCCTTGATTAAACTGGTTTCCCCCCAAAATTTGGGGCTGGCCAATCCTATTTATCATTTAGCCTAATCTGAGTAGATGATAAGTTCCAACTACTTTACAGGTAGCATCTAAAAACTATAAAAACCAATAACTGATAAATGGTTCTAAAGAAAGGGTAAAGAGAGGGCTCAAAACTAGTTCAAGATCTGCTACCACCAGTAACTTGGCATTTGATCTAACCAAGCCATTTACCGGCTTTTCAAATGGCAATACTCCTTTTTACCAAGCTGTTTGAGAGAAGAAAAATAACAAGATTACAGATAGAAAGTCTAGTATACTAGAAACTTTTTTTGGTGGTACAAAGGCTTGAACTCAGACCTTGTGCTTGCTGGGGAGTTATTCTACCAATGAGTGCTACTTCAGCCCCTTTTGTACTGTTGTTTTGGGTTAGGGTCTTGTTTCTTATCCTATTTGACACTTCTGCCATCGCCGAGATGACAGGCATGTGCCATGGTACCCAAGCTTCTTGCTGTTGAGATAGAATTTCAAAAACTTTTGTTTTGCCTGGGCTGGTCTGGCACAACAATCCAGCCTCTCAAGTAGTTAGGATTACAGGTATAAGCTACTGCACCCAGCACAGTAATACCTTCAATAAACCCTGATACATACTACTCATCATAAGAAATAGAACATTATTAATGCCTTCAAGGATCCTATGTGCCTATTTTATTACATTTCTTTATACTCACTCCCGATTATTCTAAATTTTGTTATCGTTTCTTTGTTTTTATTGATAAAACCATGGTATTTATATGTATCCCTAATATATCTTTCTATCTATCCAACCATTTATTTTCCTTCTAGCCATTTATTTAACCCATCCTCTTTTAATATGCTATATACACTTGTCTTTCAACAGCATTTTTCTTAGAGCAATTCCTTAACATTTTTTGTTTTGTCCCATTGAAGCAAAAAAGATACAGTGAAGTTAGCAACTGACCCACTGTATGAGAGGTAATTATAAGAATAATACTCTCAGAGTTTTATAACAAAAAATTCATATAGTTAAATCCCTGTTTTCACTGTATTTGATGTTGGTATAATTTGGGGAGTGAAAGGGGAAAAAACAAACTGTTTAAATAAGGATACAGGTGGACTCATTGCAGCAATAAGATGTACAAGATGTTATGTTGAAAAATGAACTTGACAACTTTGGCGGGGGGAGGGGAAGGGGAAAGTGGTGGTAGAGATGGTAAGGGGGAAACAAAGGAGTAGGGCAACAATGCTTGATAAGAAATGCACTCATTATCTTGCTCATGTAATTGTAACTCCTCTGTACGGTATTTTCTCAATAAAAAACTTAATAATAATAAAAGAATAATACCCTCAGAGGTTTATAGAAAAAATTCATATAGTTAACTTCAATTACCATACAAACATTAGGAACAAAATTCAGTTAAAACTTGATATTGACCTCATATAGCTGCCATCTTTATAACAAAGGTGAAAGTATATTAAAGAATACTGATATAAAAAGCCCTGAGCAATATTCAAATACTTCCTTAAAAGAAAAACAAGAATAAATTAAGTAAAAAATATCGAGAAGATTTTTTTCTTTTTCAGAGATGGACTGTCAGAAAATACCCGTATTATGGAATACTCTCAGTAAATAAGACGGCTTCTGAAACAGGTAGTCTGACACTAAGCAAGCTAATGACAGCATTCACCTGAGCAAGTGGTGGAAGAATCGCCTTGCGTACTTGCTGATTTGGTCTCTATATTTCAAAATAGTTGTATCCAGAAGCGGTCTTGTTGGAGCATAGAAGGTTCCAAGGCTTGCCTCAAGCTGTGCTGTGGAATTCAAACATAGCAGCACTAAAACAAGTGAAACTCCTTCAATTACAACAGAATACTCATGTTTGCAGTCAGTCAGGTTTTGCAAACTTGGATGAAATGTGAGCTTGTTGCAGGAAAGATGAAATTAAAATATGACAGCTGGTACAAAAACAAACCTGTGTATAAACTTTCACTTGAGGCAAAGCTGACAATGACTCTGAGCAACAAATAGCTGTCAAAACTGAAGAAATCCATAATGAACCAACCTCTCACCACAAATGGGTAATTAAAACAGTGACTCATCAAAGAAACACAGTTTGAACTAGTATTTCCAGTGAAATCAACTCACAGTGTGCTCAACATTTACTCTCTTTAACTGAAAGTATAAAACTAACCTCTTTGCATGGGGAAGTGAGATCAGTAGAGTAGAAAGTTTTTTCTAAATAATACAAATGAAAAGTAGGCAGTATTATATATAGGCATTTCTTTAAAAAACAACTATCTTCCAATTTTAACAGAACAGTGAAAGTCCCTCTATCTTTTGTAAATCCTATCTGAAACAAGATTCTTGGTTTTGTCCATGTATGAAAGCTAATACCCTGGGAGAGAAAAGAAGGACTGGAAAACAGGTTTTGAAAAAGAAGGGGGCTAGGGATTACGAGAAAGGCACATTTGTCTACTTCACAGTTTTACTGAGACTTGCCTATGGGGCTGTGCTTCCTCCCAGAAATACCTGGAAGTTAAGTAATTACCATAGGGTGAGAATATGAGTATGTATGAGAACACTACAGTTCACAGTGAGACTCCTCTTATTTTTATGCTACCCGTACTTGGTTGAATAAACAATTCATTATTTATCAAAACTCTTTAGTTGTAGGCATATTTGGGTTTGGAAGTATTAAATACCTCATCAGAGTAATTGCTATGAACTTGGCTAAGCTGTTAGTAATTTCTTTCTCAAATCTCAAATCTAGACAATAAAGTAAGATGAATTTGAGAGGTATTTTCTTTTAAAGCAGCAGTCAATTTAGATTAAAATTGCATACAGCAATGCTATTGTGAACACAAGCCAGATTCTCTTGCCATTGCTTGTTTTCCTGACAGCATGTTTCGTACATCTGAAATGCTCGAGCCTACATGGAATACTCCTAACTCCATGCACAGTTACAGCTTCATTAGATAGCCCAGCTTGATGTTTAAGGCAGAAATGAAGATCTCAAAGATAACCACAACACGGCTGCAAATAAAAGAGCTTGCTGGGTTCCACTAATAAAAAGGAAAACAAATTACCATGTCAAATTTGTTAGATTCAGATAGAATAAATCTCAACAGAGAAGAATTCTGAATGTTTTAGAAATGTGTTTTGCAGTTACTTGGGGGAAAATCTATGCATAAAGTTAAAATATACATTTTTCTGATAACCCAGCATCATACAAGCATTTTAATAGCCTAGTTTCATAAAAGCCTTTTTTACTTCCTTATCTCTCAATATCATTCTGTGAAAATTTCTTTCATTAGGACAAGAATCTGATAATGCCCATTTGTGTATTCCCTAATAATCTTTCTTGAAACACAGTAATCTTACAACATAAATTCACTAAGGTGTTAGCAATCTTCTAGTGTCCTAAACACATTTTGGTAATTTATCTTCTCTGCATTTCTTCTTTAACTGTAAATTTAGGATCTCTTGAATAGTCTGTATGTATCACTATACGCTCCTTTTTATTTTGCCCCAGTATTGGAATTTGAACTCAGTGCTGTCCCTTAGCTAACTTGCTCAAGGCTGGTGCTCTACCACTTGAGCCACACCTTCACTTCCACTATAGGCTTTCTTTAGGGGCACTGCTTCTTATTTTATAGTACATGCTCAATCTTGAGAGTATATCAATACTCAGTAATAGTTACTTGAGAAAACTCTGTAGGCAGAACTATTGTAGTAATACTTTGTGCTATAAAATCTTGTGAATTAAATTTTTTTAAAACCAGTATTTAGTACCACTGAGGGCCAAGCACTGTGTTGGGCATTTCTTTAGAGTAGAAATACTAGAATCTCCATAGACGGGTTTGGACTACTTCCAAAAAGTCCATTCAAATCATATTAAGTAAATATTTATTATGGGACTTCTGTGAGTTAGGGCAAGACTCATAATTTCCTGGAGGAGCATATATGTATATATATATATATATATATACATTATTCTTGTATTCTATGTATATACATATATATATATACATTATTCTTGCCTAAAATTACTAAAAGGAAGGTTACCTGCAGAATTCTATCTATATGATTAAAATTTTGGAAATATAATAAAAATGAGTGAGGAAAATCTATACAAATTCACAGAAAATAGTAAGAAAGAAAACATTCTCCAGTTAGGACCTTTTGACATATAACTTGGTTTCCTTAGTTTATAAACTCCCTAGAAACAGCTTTTTGATGGCCATGATTTCCCAACATTAACATTAACACTAACTTCAAAGAGTTGAAATAAAGATGCAAAGCCAGAATATTCTGGCATATTTACATTATGTAAATGAGTACCTCATAAAATATATACTAAATAATTAGCCAATGAATGCTTTCTTTTTATTGTTGTGTGTGACATATTTTTCTTTTTTCTTTTTTTTTCTCTCATTTAAACAATAGCTCTGGGCAACATTACCTATTGAGTAAAGGAGGAGAGGAGAAATCCAAGCAGGTAGAAGGGAGAGGTAAGGTGTGTCAAAAGTATAAGACAACGAATGAAAACAAGAAGGAGCAACCTGGGTTACAGCGCTTTCTCTCTCTCTCATATACACACACACACACACACACAGAGTGAGTGTTAAGAACTACTGTTGGGACAGTGAGTGGACTTAGGTGTGAGGGAAAAAATATTGATGTCTAATGCTGAGGAGGAATAAAAACCTTTGTTTGGGGCCTTTGTCTAACAAATCCCAAAGAGTACATGAAATTTCTGATCAAAGGTTGAAATATAAGCATGTTCCACACAGCTCAGACTGAACTGTACAATGTGTTGTGAATTCCAACACAAGAATATACAGAAAAGTTGTTCTTTATGTAGACAAATACCACATAGTAAGTACTATATTGGAATAATTATTTGATATCTGATCCTTTCCATTTTAATAGAGTATTAGCATTTTTGTCCTCCAGTCTCTAGTAATGTAACCCAAAGGCATTCTAAAAAGTCTGATTTATAAATGCACGCCATGTATATACAAAGCCCACTTATGAAACACATTCAAGCTGACCTTCTCTCTGTGGAGTGAGCTTTTGTCTGAGAAGATGATTCACAATGGCGGTCATGCTGATAAAGCACTGCTGGCCCAGAGTGTCCCAGTTCATGCTGCTCAGGATGTTTATTGCCTTGCAGATCTCATCATAGTGAATATACTGGAAGATGATGTCCATGGGGGCCAGCTGTCCTCGAGTGAGGATGCCTGTTACAAAGTGTAAAACCAGGTGAACCTGTTTCTTTATTTTTTGTTTTAAAATACTAAGCAGAGTAACAAAACAAAGTTAATTTTCCCATAAGGAAAATAACCATCATCATTTATTGGATAAGTGCTTGGCATATGGAACTGAGCCCCTTGACAACTATTATTTGCTATAAAATACTTTGGTACACTACTGTACACTTTTCTATCCTTTCAAAATAAAAGAAAATCCACTTTCAATCTTAGAGGACCAAGTACACAAAGGAGAAAAAAAAAGTTCAGAGAAAGGCACTCTGTTCTGATTTTATTTTATTGTCTTTTAAAAGGCTGATCTCATTTGAGACTAACAATTTCCCTGTATTAAACACAATAAGTACTGGGGCTTTTAAGCACCTTTCTGCTTAATTTTGTTTTTTCATCTTTTATAAATGGCTGGCTATAAAATTGCTTTTCCTCCTTCAGCCATGTTTACTCACTTGAGCAAGTCTACAAAAACTTCTCAGTTCAAATAATCATAAAGCTAAATGAGAAAATGTCTGTGAAATTACTTTGTAAGCTATAAAATATTATAAAACATTACTATAATTCTTGTTTTTATTACTGTCATCATCATTTAACTGGAATATTTATGGTTTAAGATTAAAAAATATATTAGTTCACACAAAAGATGCTGAAATTTTCTATACTAACTTCAAGTCAGATCAGAATAAAAACTTGCGCTGTATCTAACAGGACTCAACTTGACAGGGAATCTGGGGAATTGCCCTAACTATACTAAGTAGTAAAACTTTATGGTTCTTTTTGTGTTGGTAGAATCAACAAATGTGACTCTCCAAAAGCCTCACGAGCCTGCAGTGAAGCCCTGGAAGTCCTCATAAATCAGGTGGCTCCTTGGCAGTAGGTATTAATGTGCAGGAACTTTGAAGGAAAATGAAAATACCTGAATACTACTGACTCTATTTGTATCAAAAGCAGCGCTTTTACAAGGACCAAGAGAAAGAAATGATCTGTTGACAAAAAAAAAAAAAAAGCTAACTAGAGTATAATAGTTCAATGATGATGAAAAAAGAAACTTTTTTAAAAATAGGAAAAAGAAAGGATGTACGGAGATATGAATACAAAGATATAAATGATTACAGACTTTGCACCTGAAATTTTACAGGCCCAGAAAAACAATAGGAAAGATACTTTTAAAGGCTGAGATAAAAAACAAAGTAACCTATAATGCTAAAAAATGAACCAAAAGTAATGAAGAAACATAAAAATCTTTGCATATATTTACTAACAAAGCTTTGAAATAATAAAGTAAAAACTGACAGAGACCTAAAAAAAGAAAGAAAGAAAATATACAATTATAGTTGGAAATTTCAGTATTTCTTTCTAGAAGCAAGAGAACATATAAACAGACAATCAGAAAAATGTACAGGCTGTGCACTGAGTGGCCGATGCATGTAATCCTAGCCACTGATCTGAGAATAGCAATTGGAAGCCAGTTTGGGGAGGAAAAGTCTGTGAGACTTCTATTTACAATTAACCACCAAAAGTCAGAAGTGGAGCTGTGGCTCAAGTGGTAGAGTGCCAGCCTTCAGGGACAGCAGCCAGGCCCTGAGTTCAAGCCCCAGTATTGGCATGTACATGCACATGTGTGTGCTCACATGCACACGTACACGCCCCCCCCCCACAATGTATAATACTTGAAAAACACTATCAAATTTGACCTGATAGTATAAAGCATTTCACTGAGCAATAGCAAAGTATACACACTTTTTTAGTGTACCCAGAACACTAAACAAGCAACAGCAAATCATTAAGTTTCTCCTAAAGTAGGTAATGGGCTAACACTGCTTCTGTTTTGCCCAAGAGAAATAAAAATGTTTCTATACAGTTTTGTGCACAAGACACGAAGGTACGTACTGTACTTAGTCCTTCAGCTCAAACTTGGCAATAGCCCACCTGCCCATAAATGTGTAAAAAGATAAAACTATAGTATATCCATATAAAAGGCTGCTGGTCAGTAACATAAAGGAAAAAAATTATAGATGCACGGTAATGGAAGATTCTCAGGGATTAATAGTGAGTGAATAAGAGTATCAACTATATGATTGTTTCCATAAAATGCTATATAAAACAAACCTAATCTGTAGTGACAAAGCAGCTTTGAAAGAGGCGAGGATTTACAAAAGGTTTTGGAGAATTTCTTGGGACAAGGGCATGTTCAATGTCTCGATTGCAGCGGCACTCATGAAGTGTATGTTAAGCTGTGTATTTAAATTTTTGTATTTTATTTGTGCAGCTTATATCCCAAAAACTTGATTGTAAAATCCAGTATCATTCTAGTGTGAAAAAAAGGTAAAATTTTACCTGGAATAAAAGTTCACTTCAAATGATATAAAATCCCCTTTTTTTACTTTAAAAATCTGGTATATTTTCTTACAAATTTGTGTTATAGACTCTATTCTTTTTTATTATTTATGTATTTAAATGACAACAATCAAGACAATATATCAAAAGGCAATGAGTATGATCTTTATAACTGTTACAGGCAATATTTCATGTAAATAAATAAAGCAGTAAAGGGTGACTGCATTATTTAAATAAAATCATTTATAGAAAAAGAATAAAGATAAATATAAACCACATGTTTAAAAAATCCCTGAGCCATGGGCTGGGAAGGTGGCTCGTGGTAGAGCGCTTGCCTTGCATGCATGAGGCCCTGGGTTCGATTCCTCAACACCACATAAAAGAAAAAAAAGCTGGAAGTGGCTCTGTGGCTCAAGTGGTAGAGTGCTAGCCTTGAGCTAAAGAGCTGAGGGACAGTGCCCAGGCCCAGAGTTCAGGCCCCACAACTGGACCAAAAAAAAAAAAAAATCCCTGAGCCAGGCATGGGTGGCTCACGCCTGTAATCCTAATTACTCAGGACGCTGAGATCTGAGGATCACAGTTCAAAACCAGCCTGGGCAGGAAACTCCGTGAGACTCTTATCTCCAGTAAACCACTAGAAAAACTAGAAGTGGCGCTGTGGCTCAAGCAGTAGAGCACTCGAGTTGAAGAGTGCAGGGACAGTGCCCAAGCCCAGAGTTCAAGCCCCACAACCTACCAAAAAGAAAAAGAAAAAAGAAACCCCTGAGTAAAATATAGTAGGACCTGTATTTACATCTATATTCCTTATTAGATCTGGTAAAAGAAAAATAAGTTAAGTCTAAATATTTCTTATAATTATTTTTTATTGATGAAGCATCTAATAAAGTATCTCACATTTCTATCCAACAACAAACCACCATCAGTTACCACTTAGGTAAGTATAATGTTAAAACAGCTCATCGGAAATACGTTTTGAAGAGAATATTCTTTTACAAAGTTCCTAAAAGAAAAATCATCCTCTTTGCTTTTTAGAGAGTGACAGAAAAGCAAACATAGACATACATTCCTGTGATTTTCAAAATTCTAGGACAGGGAGAATGTTAGCTTTAATGATCTCTTTTTAGCATTACCACTTGAACATTTAGCCTTTCCCCAGCTGTGCAGACTCCATGAGAGCCCTATAGGGTCACTCCAGGCAGATGGTAAACAATTACCATCACCATGGACAGAGCAAGTAGGAGAAGGCATGCCATGGTTGGAAAGCTACATTGATGTAGCACAGCTGGGGAGGTGACAAAAGCTGTTCCACAAGTGAAGTGGTTCAAGCTGGAGAATCCAAGACCACAGTTAGGATGGTCTCTCTGGTGCAGTGTGCAAGCTATGTAGGGCATGGGCGGAAAACTAGAAGGTAGAAGAGTGTAAAGAGAAGACCTCTACTTGGTCATGATAAAATAGGAGAGGTCAGGTCAAGTGAGATTGAATTAAGATGTCTGAGCAGTATTTAAAAGGAAAATGATGGAATTTGGCCATGGACATTAGGGTGATGATGACATTTCTGGTTTTTTTCTGAGAAAGGATTTCACTATGTAGCCCAGGCTGGGCTTAGTCTTCCTGCCCTAGACTCTCCAATGCTCAAATTATGGGTATGTACCATGATGTTTAATGTTTTTACTCAGAGGTTCCATCTCTGTGATTGTAAAATCCGCCAAAATGGAGAGGACAAGTGGAAAAGCCAGTCTGTGGAGAAAGATGATTTCATGTCTATATAGAAAGAGTCTGAGGCAGTACCTAGCAAGCCAGGTGAATGTGTAGATGCAGGATCCGGAGTGGTCTGGGCTGGAGTCAGAGATGGGATAATGGTTAAATCATTTCACGCTAGTGTAACTGAGTATCACAGACAATGTCAATTATACACAGTGGAAGTTTTCCCAGCTCATGGTTCTGGAGGCTGCAAAGTTCATGATCAAGGGACTGCAGTGGATGAAGGATTTCTAGCTGAGCATACCCAGGATAAGAGGAAAGATAAGGACTAAAAGTAAACATGCCTCCCCCTTCAATAAAATGAAACACAGCTAAAAAAAGAAAAAAAGAAAAAAAAAACAGAATCTTGGAGACCCAGCATCTTCATGAGCAGTCAGAAGAGTATAAAGAAGTAATGTAAAGCTGAATCTGGGGTCAGAAAAGCAAATGCCATGAGGGTTCTATGACAGTGGAGGTAGTCAGCAATCAGCCAGTTCTGAAAAGTCATAAAGGAACAAGGAATATAATTATCATGTAGGAAACCACCCCATAAATCTTCCCTAGGGCAGCCCCAGAGAACACTGCAGACACAAACCAGAACACAATGAGGAGTGAATGAGAAGTGAAGAAGTAGAGAAAGTTGATGCTTACTATTATATCAATGATGGCTATGAAAAGCAATCATTTGATCAATAATGAGGAAACCACTTGGAAGTGTTTTTTGGGCTTATGCTTGTACTCCTAGGTACTGGGGAAGCAAAGTTCAAGAGGACTGCAGTTTGAAGCCAGATAAGATACAAAAAAAAAGATCCCTATCTCAACATATAAACTGGGTGATAGTAATATACATCTATCTGTAGTCCCAACTACTGAGAGGGATAGGTAAAAGAACTGCAGTCTGAAGTTAGCCCCAGACAAGAACACAAGACTCTAGCCAAAAAATAAATCAAAGAAGGGCTAGGGTCCTTCTAGCGACAAAGTACCTACAAAATAAGTGTATGGCCCTAAAATCAATCTCTGGTGTTGCCAAACAAAACAAAAAGAAAGAGTTGTTTGTTTACCTGGTGAAGCTTTGGCTTGTTTATCTGCTAATTTAATAAGACTCGGAATGAGGAAGAATGATAAAGTAAAAACATAAAAGAGGATATTATGAGATCTACAGTGGATGCAGGGAAGTAACTACTCCAGGACAAAAGGAGAGATTCCCTTTCCTTGGGATTGGGAGGGAAATACGCAAGTGCATGTAGGTAAATGGTTAGATGGCTGGATACCTGCATTAAACAGATACTTAATGAAGGGCCAATTAAGACATGAGCTACTCTGCTGAGAGAAGATGGAGCTGGTTATGTGAGTTTAAAGAGAGCAGTGAGAGTTGGAAAACGTTCCAGTGAGAGTAGAGGCGCTTTAATACCTTAGTAGTATAATTAAGGGCCCTTCTTCCTCTTTACCCTCGGTCTATGTATGTGAAAAGTATGGAATAATGACTGCCACATAAAGACATTCTGTATTTAATGCTCTACATAAGGTAAAATTTCTTGGCTTCCTGTAGGAAGATGAGAATTCTAGCTGCTTCCTGAGGACAGAAACTTCCAATAATAGTGAAGATGGACTTTTAATATTCAAAAAATTTTATGCAGTTACTATAAGGATTAAGTGGGAGTAGGACCCTGGCGGCTCATGCCTGTAATCCTAGCTACTCAGAAGGCTGAGATCTGAGGATCGCGGTTCAAAGCCAGCCCGGGCAGGAAAGTCTGTGAGACTCTTATCTCCAATAAACCACGCAGGAAGTGGAGCAGTGGCTAAAGTGGTAGAGTGTTAGCCTTGAGCTGAAGAGCTGAGGGACAGCTGAGGGCCCAGAGTTCAGGCCCATAACCGACAAAAAAAAAGAAAGAAAAGAAAAGATTAAGAGGGAAACTCTACCCTTGGAACCGTTTTCCTTCAACTCTACACTAACTGACCTAATCTAGGAGTCAAGATCCAAAGATCTTCGCATGTTGGCATCAGCCACTGCCACGTTTACATATGACAGCATTCTATTTTAAACTATGATCTATGATCTGTCTTTACAATTTTAAATCATAAGCTACACCTTTCATGTCAGATTTTCCAAAGGCTTGCATAACAAGTATCTGAAAAAGAATCTCATAAATGCTCCTAGTGGGGAAACTGCACATGCAACTACCTGTTTACATATGCAGCAACTTGAATTATACATGAAAATGCCACATGGATGCCCAGAATCAGCTCTGTGTTAATTCAAGAAGTATATTAATTTTTGGATGTATTTAGTAGCAGATCATAAGAAAAATCTGTTCTTTAAAACTGAGTTTTCTTTTTAAAAGATTGCTAGTTGGAATCTACTATTTCAAGGAGTCTACTCTTCCCAGGAAAAACAATTTGATTTAAATATTATTAATCTTATAATACATTAATAATGAGAACTAAAGCTTTAAAAATCCTTATAAATTCTATGTTTAGATCCTTTAAAGAACCTTAGGACTATACAATTTCTCTATCCTAAAAAACTTAAGAGTCATACTGAAAAGAAAATTTAAATGATAAATGTCAGTTGCAGAAGTTATCACCTTTTTATTTGAATGCTCGTCTTCTATTGGATAATCCGCTTCCAAGAGACCTTCTTGGGAAAAAGAGGTGACAGCCAACTCATTGCCTAATTGATTTAGGAACAGTGCCCAGGGAGACAGTCCAATTAAGTTTACAAGCTGGCAATTAGCAGGAAGCCCTCTAAATCCCTCCACTGAGAGCCTGTTTACTTTAGTAAGAAGGCAAATGTGCTAGAGATAGGAAGAGAAAGCTGTGCTTTTTGCAAAGCTGTTGTGAGTAGGCCCACAAGGGAGGGCTGAAGAAAAACTAGGTCTACGTGGGCAGACAGCCTTCTGTTTGACAGGTAACTGAGTAATTTAAAGGGTGAGAGAGAGAGAGAGAGAAAGAGAGATCTATGTAGCAAGACAAGAGACACAGAGAAGAGTGTGTGTTTTAACAGACATGCAAAACATCAAACATCCACTTTAATTAGTGTTGTGTATGGAGACATACAACTGTTAAACATGTAGTTGGGCAAAGTATAACTGCATTATCTCATAATAAATGAGATTTGAAGTATTCTTTGAGCAATATTTACTTACTGACTAGAAAATTTAGCTGCATTCTTATTTTGTAGAAGGGGCACAGAACTCCCATTATATATATATATACATACATATATATATATATATATATATATATATATATATATATATATATATGCCTTGCCTTGCAGGTTAATCAGGTCATTTTCACCAGATTTATTTCATATCTTCAATTTCAGAGACAAGTAAACACAAATAAAATTACACTGAAAGTTATTTAACAAACACTCGAATGCTGTGAATCTTCTACAATACCTTTAAAAAATAAACTTTGCATCACATAGCCAAATCTTATAGGAGGTTTAAAAAATGTTTTCATTTTTCTATCTTTTCAAGAAACTGTAATATGAACTAATTTAACAAAATTTTAAACTTAAGTTCTCTCAAGAATGTTAAATTATACAAAACTACCTAAAGTAGTCAGTGCTCTTTCAGGATGTATTAGTAATGGAAAGCTACAAAGAACAGATGAATCATCAGAAAAATTTTCATTTTAAATTTTTTGGGAAGTGAATTTTATCAAAGATTGTATGTGTAGAAATATTATATTATATATGCATATATGAACATATTAGAATGAAGCCCCTTTTTACAATTAATATAGACTAATCAAAAAGGTTTCTTGATTGAAATAAGCTATATTAATATATAATTTTAGAGATATTGGTAAATCCTTTTGGATATTTTTCCCTATGGCAAACAAAAAATTACAATAGAGATCTTTAGCAAATTCTAAGTAAATATGATTCTTTAAAGCATTTACTTGTTAACTGCTAACCTGGGAAACAAGAAACACAGATCATCTAAGACAGTCATGATAGAAAAAGTATTACATTCCAAAAACACATAAGTTGTCAATGGATATAGAAAATACCTTGTAAAAAACTCTATTTTTATTCACTTTTTAGGACTATTTTAGTAGGTCATTGGAAAGTTAGCCACAGAGCTTTTTTGAGGAAATTACAGGAAGTGTTTGAAAGCCAACCATTTTTAGGGACGGCAAATAGAAAATCTACTTTCCAAGAATAGTCGTATTTCCTCAGTGATGCCATCATCATAAACACTGTATTCACCAATTTCCTTGACTTACCGAGTTTAAACAAAAGCACACCCAGGGGTCCTCTGTCCAACCTAAGAAAGAGAAGGTCATAGACATTTCCACTTTCAAGCTTCTGAGAAACAGCTGGAGGGGCTATCCACTGCATCTGAACAAGGCTGCTGGAAACATCAAATAACTTGCTGAATTGCAAAGTCACCCTGGGTAAGTGGTCTTCAGCCAAGAGCTGGATGTTAATAGGGGATAGAGCCATATCAAAAATTTGCAGTTCCCCTTGGTTGCTGCCAACTAGCAGAATGGCACCACTTGGGTGGCAGCTTATTAATGAAGGCAAAAGTTCAGCCTGGGCCAACAGAGTCACTCCATGATGAGTTTCATAAAGAATTAGTGAAGAATCTTCACAGCCCAGAATCAGTTTGTCTTCAGTAACACTCCTACAGCAGCTAATGGCCTTCGATCTTAGTGGTATTCTAGTGACTGATACACAATGAATTTTGTTCCGAACACATTCATAGATGCAGCTGTCAGCCATGGGCTCGTGGTCTACGCTGACAGAGTGTTCCACTGTGACCACCTGATAAGGCTGTTTGGTGAGAAAGCAAACATCCAGTGGCTCCCATTCTGTGCGAACAGAACTTAATACCTGTAAGAAATGTCAAAGACATTCTGATTGACTTTGGTTTTTCTTCAGCTGCCACTGCATTTTAATATAAACCATCAATTACTACCTTAAACATCAGCAATATGTAGATATATAACAGTGCTGAGCACACAGAGGTCAGTATCTATATTATAGCACAGCTTCAGGTATGAAACCATAAAATTTTTAACTTAGATATTTGATTTTGAAAAAAGTATAAGTCACTTAAAGTTGATTAGGTCCTATAATATATAAAGACAAAGTGGGCTTTTAGTAAAATAATATGCCTAGCAGAATATCTTGAAAAGTTAGAAGTCAGAAAGGAAAAAGGATTAGTGAATCCACTTCCCACCCACCAGGCTTCCCAATTTAGAAATTACTTAGTAAAAATACAATTAGTAGGGCTAAGCATTCCAAGAAAACACTTTAGAACTCTATTTAAACACTCTTATAGGTTTATTTTGCTATTGAGAAGGATATAACAGATTGCTAAGTAGAAAAATGACCAATGGGAAGAAATAATATCATGTACTAGTTTTAAAATAAAATTAGACCAAGTAAATAATATTAGTTAATATTGGTGAAGCAAACTGGAATTACTTATGCCTATAATCCTAGGTACTCAGAAGGCTGAGACCTGAGGTTCTTGGTTTGAGGCTAGCTCGGATACAAAAGTCCAAGAGATGCTTATGTCCAATTAACCAACAAAAATACACACACCACACACACACACACACACACACACACACACACACACACACACACTGTTCCAGGGTTTTAACTCAGGACCTCATGCTCTCTATGGAATTTCTTGCTCATGCCAGGCATTGTACCACTTGAGCCAGTTTGTGTGTGTGTGTGTGTGTGTGTGTGTGTGTGTGTGTGTGTGTGTGTGTGAGATACCTATATTTATCTATTGATATATATATGTATATATATATATAATTTTAAAGTATCTTATCTGTAGAAAGGAAAGGCTACTTGCCTACAAGAAACATCAATTCAGAACAAACAAATTTACTTTATCCAAGTTAATTATGGAAGGTCAGAAGCCAGCAGAATATTATTAAAGAGGATTTTTTGAAAATATTAACTTTCAAAAATTAGATGCACTTGATAAAATTTTTTTAGAATTTCACACCCTCCCCCCCAAAAAAGTGCATGTTGACTGGGAATGTGGCTCAGTGGTAGAGTGCTTGCGTAGAATACATGAGGCAATGGATTCAATTCCTCAGTACCACATAAACAGAAAAAGCCAGAAGTGGTGATGTGGCTCAAGTGGTACAGTGCTGTTAGCCTTGAGCTGAAGAGGTCAGGGACAGCACCGAGGCCCAGAGTTCAAGCCCTACAACTGACAAAAAAAACAAAAACAGAAAGAATAGTGAATGTAAATCTGACTATGTCTGAGTTAGGTTTGTCTGAGTTATAGTACTACATCAAGGACATTGCTTGTGACCCCGTTCTGTAGTAATGTAGGCTATTACCATAGGAGGCAAGTACGTAAAGAGAACTCACTGTATCATTTTAACAATTTCTTGTGAGTCAAACTATTTCAAAATTTAAAGTGTGTAATACACCAAAAAGCACACAGAGAGCTGGCTTAGTGGTAGAGTGCTTGCCTAGCATACATGAAGCCCTGGGTTCAATTCCTCAGAAGCACATAAACAGGAAAAGCCAGAAGTGGTGCTATGGCTCAAGTGGTAGAGTGCTAGCCTTGATTAAAAGAAGCTCAAGCTCAGGGATAGTGCCCAGGCCTTGAGTTCAAGCCCTAGGACTAGGAAAAAAAAAAAAAGCACATAAGAGCTATGTTGGGTTAGCAGGGGAGGAGGGATAGATGTGATGTTTTGAAACATCTATCTTACATATTATCACCAAATTAAAATGCTTTTGTTTTTTTCAGTCCTTTCAATATTCAAACATTTCAATGGCAACACACTTTTTACAGATTTCAAGATTACATTGACTAATGAGTTAAATTTTTATTCCTTTGCCTTAGAATACAAATGTGTTGAATATGTTCCATTCCTTTCTTCCCTTGTAATCACTTTCTCGTTCTTTTTGTGAGCTAGGTACTAGAAGAGACACAGCAGCTAGCAAATCCTCTCCCTTGGGTCCCATACATTGTACCAGAGAGAAAATAGCATCTTCTCCTAAACAAAAGTTGTAAAAGGCCAGGTGCTGGTGGCTCACACCTGTAATCCTAGCTACTAGGAGGCTGAGATCTGAAGATTGTTGTTCAAAGCCAGCTAGGGCAAGGAAAGTCTGTGAAACTCTTATCTCCAATAAACCACCAGATAATCGGAAGTGGCACTGTGGTTCAAATGGTAGAGCTCTCACTTTGAGTTGAAGAGTTGAGGGACAGTGCCTAGACCCAGAGTTCAAGCCCCATGACTGACCTCCCACCCCCCAAAAAAAATTTGTAAAAGTTCCAGGCTGATACACTATAACAAAAAGAAGGTTCTGAAGAAAGAAGCACAACTAAATTCTTTAATCAGTTTTACATGGCATGAAGACCCTAGACCCAGGTTAAACTGTGGACTCTATGCTTACATTTCATGAAAACAATGGCCAATTTATGCAGTATGACTGGATGAAAAGCATGCACAGTGGACCATTGGTATCTGTAGGCATGTGGTTCCAAGAGACTGCTGTTAAGGAAAATCTGCAAATGCTCGGAATGCAATAGGGTTCAGTACCATCATGTGGGTGACTGATTCATCTTTCCCATAATGCTACCCAACTTCTATTGAAGATATTCTGCCTTTCAAGTCTAAAAATTTTGTTTTAACATTCAGATTAAGCACATTAACTTTTACCTTGATTTGGGAGAACTATATACTTTTGGCAGGCATATTTTCACAATCCTATGGGCAGGCAAACACAAAGCAGATCATACAACCATTCAAATGCAACTAATGGCACTGGGAACCTGATTGAGATTCTTGGCACCAACCGAACTGTGTACTGTGAATGGGAATTTAAAATTTTTGGTTTTGAAATTTCATTTGATTTTTTGAAGCCATGCTTGATCAAGACCAGTAATCAAGGATTACTGTGAAACCTATAGGAAACAAACTGGAAGGAAATTAGCAAGGCCTGTCCATTCATATTTTTGGTGTCTCTATATCTTCATTTCTTTCCTCTGTATAGAGGGCCACAGGAAGATCTTCTGGCCTACTTTCAGGGGAAGTAGGTCAGATGATTCTGTCAGGAGAGAAAGATAGGAGAAGAGAAAGAAAAAGGACTAAAGAGATCTTTCTGCTTCTGCTATTTTCTCCAAATCCTTCAGCTTAATATACTCAGTGTGCCAAATTGCTGTATTTGGGAGTAGCATTTCCTATACTCATCACACTTTCATAATGAAAGAAAAGGCAATAATTAACAATTAAATGCACATAGATACTCTATATTTGTACTACACAAGTACCACGGAGTAAAATAAAGCTAAGTGAGAGCAAAGGGAGTGGGAAGGGGCACGATATTGAGAGGTCAGGTAGGTCTCTCTGATAAAGATGGCCTGAAACGGGGAGCCTGCAGCCCTCTAGAAGAGAAGAACTCCAGGCAGATGAAACAAGCACTGAGGCAGAAGCTCTATGGCCTGCTGAGTGATTCGCTATGGCTAGAGAAGGAGGAACAAAAAGAGAGCAGTGGAAAATGGGAATTGAGGGGGAGGATTATTGAATAATAAGTTGTAGACTAATAAGAGACTCCAACATTTTTCTCCAATGAGATGAGACGCCATAAGCAAGTTCTGAGCAAAGGAAGGGCATGATATAACATGATATGACATGATATAAATTCTAGTGATATTCCCTACAGTCTCACTGAATGTACTCTATACTGAGCTCAGACCAGAACCTGCTCCACATTTTCCCCAGGCATATCACTTTACTTTCATCCTTCATCTGAATTCCTCTTCACTCATAAGAGAATTTCTTCCTTAAAAAACTAGACCAAAATCATCCCTGTTTTCTGGATTCCTTCCAGGTAGGTGGCACCTCTGCTTTATTCCCACTTCCATATCCACTTCCCACTCCCAACTCGGTCAGTGTCTATATTGTGATATGTAACCTTCTATTTACTTTTGGAGTTTCATTTTAAGTCCTTATTATCACACACTAGCAGGGTTTGGAGGTGCAAGTCACGAGTCCTAGCATTCAGGAGATGAAGGCAAGAAGATTGTGAGTTGGGGACCAGCTTGGGATACATATCAAGTTTAAGGACAGCATGAGCTATAAGCTAGACTCTGTCTCAAGAGACAAGAAAGACAAACCAAAAATCTTTCTTTCACATTTTATACCTTTCATACCTATGTACCCAAAAGGCAAAACTATGCTGGTACAAAATATGTAATAAACTTTTTAAACTATGAATTTAACAAAACCAAACATTGTAATGCTGGTTGAAATATCACATTTCAGAAGGTATATTTTTGCAAAAGAAGCCTTAGAGCATACTAAATATTTTCAACTAAAGGTAATTAAAATGCCAGTTAATACTGAGGATAGACTGTATCAACACAGGTCAGCAGAGGGCAGTGTGGTCTACAGGTCACAAGGCTCAAGTTCCACGAAGAAGGGTCCTAGGCATCTTTCATTCCAGAAATCTGCAAGACCCTCACTAGCAGATTTAATAGTCCCATCAAGAGAAAGAGGAGGAAGTGGCACTGTGGCTCAGGAAGTAGAGCAAAAACCTTGAGCTGAGAGCTCAGGTACAGTGCCCAGGCCCCAGGTTTGAGACCCACAACTGACAAAAGGGGGGGGGGAGAAAAAGACTTCATCCTACTTGCATATGCTTTCCAATCCTGTCAACCCAGATTATTCTACAAAAGTAGCCATAGTCAGAAGATGACTTGCTGTCTCCCCAACTGTTTCTATAACTATGGATCGTATGACTGACACTCACTTAAGAAAGAAAATGTCTTATATAGTAATTAAAAATACCATGAGCTGAAGGTGTAGACTAGCCCTGAGTTTGATTCCTGGTGTTACAAAAATTAGTAA